TTCAGAGGAGGATCAGGGACAAAGCAGGCATAACTGAGCAAACAGAAGGGACCAGCAACAACACAAACAGCAGCCACCACCAATGGGGTTTAGATTCTCTGCAGAGAATTTTTAGCCATGCAGTTGTTCCTTTGCCCCCCTCTACAGCCCACAAGGCAATGACTGATAGGAGGGATAGCACATCAGTCTGAACCATCCCAGATTCTAATACTTTTCATTTTAAAATATGTCTGTGTCTTTTGATCATCCATACCGGGAGAAGCTCTACCTCTAGTGGAAGATAGGCAGTCGATCAGCTCAGATGTGTGAGACTATAGGGATCCAGTCAGTGTCTCTTCTAAGAGTCACCCTCTGGTTTATAGAGTGTCCCACTAGTCTTGAGAAGCAACACAACATAGTTCTCAAGGGACTGTACCCTAGCACATCAGACCTTTATGATATGTTGGGAGAGTCACTCAACATTTTTCTGCCTCAGTTTCCTTATCTAAGGTTTGTCCAGGTTTTTGTATAATCACCAATAATTTTAGCTACCTCCCATGCCCCAACTCTTATAAAACATGAACCATGCAGTCATTGTCACTGTTCAATAACTCAAGATACAATTTGGTAAACATGTAAACCTGAAATCAAACGTAAAAAAAAATGAGGGGAGATAAATCAATCACAAAGGCTAAGAATGTTGCTCCACTGAAGAAGTATGCCCTGTCCTTGGGCGCTCTCTCTCTGTTCTCTCTCTCTCTCTCTGTCTCTCTCTCTCTCTCTCTCTCTCTCTCTCTCTCACACACACACACACACACACAGAGTGAAAAGGAAAAAAGGAAACTCGCAGTCAAAAGGAAGAAGTTTCATCTGATTTCAAGCGGAAGGAGAGGAAAGAACGAGACAAACTAGCAAGAATTATCATGCTAGATGTATTTAGCTCATTCATCTTAAAGTGTTAAGCATCATTGCATTTAATCTTTATAGCAACTTTGTGAAGTAGAATTTAAAGTTATCCTTTTAAAGATAAGGACAATAGCTTGCAGAAAGGTTAGGCAACTTGCTCAAGGTCATCCAACTAATAAGGGCATGGCAAGGCTTTGAAACAGCTGGGCCAGACATTAAGCCTGGGTCCTTTTATTTCTATATCCCTCAAGCTAGAGAAGCCAAGTTTAATTTTTTGTCCATCCCTTCAAGGACTGGAAATAAAAACAGTGAGGGTGAAGGGCATGCTCTGTTCCTAAAGAGATGGTAGAATGGAAAGGGAATTGGGCATCCCAGGTTTTGGTCTGATTCTGCCACTAAAGAGGCTGTGAAGGTTGGAGTGAGTTCCTTTCCCCTCCACACCAGATCATTCCTTGTCTACAGGATGAGGGGTTGAGGAGAGTTTCTCGGGTGCTATGATTTCATGTCCTCCCTCCACCTCTGCACCCACATTTGCAAACTTAGCTTTTCCTCCTGCTGGGCCAAAGTGTTCAGGAGGCTCCTAACACCTGGGATCTGGTGTTTCTCCTTTTCCTGCCCTTTCTCAGATGAAGACCTTGTGTGTTATAGAGACATTTTTTAAATTACCATGGCCTGAGTGGAGCAGCTGACACTCTTGCGGTCTCCCTAGCTTCTCAAGGTGATCAGAGAAAGGGTGGGGGGTAAAAGTCTTAATATTGCATATTTCTAAATGCTACCATGCTTTAGATATGCAGTCCCCACAGGAAAAGCCCTGGAGTTCAAATTCTGCATGACCTTCTTTGTAGGGTCTTGACTTTAGGGTAGTGGGGAGGAGAGAGTAATCTATGCTGGGAAAAGCCTGATCACTGATTAGACTTAGGGCCGTCCATCTTCCCTGCTCTGGGAATGACTGATGAACCTGAGGCACTGCTCAGAGTCAATGGAAGTTCCAGGGACAAATGACAGCCAGTTTTCGATGTCAGAAGAGCAGCAGCTCCTGTGTCCTAGGTGGGGGCTCCTGTGCAAGGCTGAGAAATCTGGGGAGCTGTATTTACTGTTGGCAGCCACCCAGTTTCCCCCTGTCTTTATGTGGGAGTTTGTGGGGCCGATTCAACAGCTCACTCAACCCTAGTGGCAGAGAAACAAAGTTTCTTCTAAGGGAAGATTAACACAAGTCACTGTGGAAGCTTCAGATACACAGGGAGAAGAATGTCAGAGACCAAGAGAAAATTCCAGAGTCTGCAGCCCACGCAGGCTTGGGTGGGGTGAAGGAAGCACATGTTGAGGCAGGCAGGACTGTCTAGTCAGGACTGATAACCAGGGAGAGGGAAATTCCTTTGCATCCAAGGCTAAGGTCCAGGGAGGGCATGAGAGCACACCAGCATCGGAGCTGGCTTCAGATCATCCAGGGCCTGAGACAAGCTGGGTGATTCCAGAGGACAGAGGATAAGGCAGCAGGTTCCTGCAGGGCTGAGAATCCTACCAGACATAGCAACAGGTTCCAGCAGCCCCTGCTGTCAGGGCTCATGGGTGGGGATTTGGTGAACAAGGGGACCTGGGCACAGACCTAGGAGAGAACAAAGTGAGGCAAGAGGCTTGGAGCTCGGGTGTACCAATGGGGCTGGCACCAGCCTGGAGCAAGGTGGGGCATTAAACTGTCTGACAATGAAGCAGGTGGGTGGGAAGAGCAGTGGGTAGACTCTGTACCAGAGCTTCTAGGTAATTCTCAAAGTAGACTCTGAACCTGTCTTCACAAATAACACCATTCAGTCATTCATTCATTTATTCAGTCAGCCAGCCAGCCAGCCAGGCAGTCAGTCTATAATTGCCAGTCTATAATTGCCGAGCAGCTTCTGCACGCCAGGCACTGTGTGAGGATGGAGATGGATAGGGACCTATGGCCGCATGGACACAGTGGGAGGCTGACCTTGGCCTCAAGCTCACCAGCTGTGGAACCAGCAGGTGCTCCACAAACATTTAGGTGTTTGTTTGGGTAAAGGAGGGGTTAGATGAGGAGGAGGAACTATCTGCACACCTAAGTTTTAAGGATGATTTGGATTTTCCAAAGGCCACACCTAGTAACAGTTTGTGTTTCAAGTGCAGCTCTGAACCAGGGACATCAGTTTCACGGGAATTGCCTATGGAAGGACTGAGGGAATCCCTGTTCTTGTGTCCCCAGGAAAGAGAAGTTCCTTGGCAGGGAGACTCTTCAGAATCTGACCATCATGGAGTGAAGGCAAGTGTGTGCAGGCACTCAGGGGCTGATCACCTACTGCCTGCCCCAGTGCCTTCACCTCAGCTGTGTCGTGATGTCACTCTGAGAGCTCCCCTAGTGTGAAATCAACTCAGGTTCAAAGCAGACATTTTAGTTTTGGCTTTAGTTTTTGACTTTTAATTTTGGCTTTTCCCTTCCTCTCTCCGACCCTGGTGCCCTGAGTGATGATAAACTGAACCTTATTTCCACCTATTCTAATTCATGCCCTTCCTACTTTAGCAGAGCTAGAAACACCCACTGTTTAGAGCCACTCAAATATTAAGCATCTTTATTTCTACTTAAAGGGACTTATCTTAGCACTAATTAAGGCTCACCCACAAGGCAAGGCTTTTTCTGTGTCCTCACACTGCCACTCCTGAAACTTTCCAGAACTACGAGTGGTCCACCTCTCAGCCAGGAAGGGCTCCCCTTTCCACCTCTAATCAATTTTCCACCTGGGCTTAATTTCCTCCTTAGACATTAGGGAGTCATAAGGAATGAAAACAAAGGAGAACACAGGATTTATGTGTATAATTCTCTTCTTCCTGGGGTTTGTTTTTTTTGACCTTGATGAGTTATTTCACCTCTTGTGACCTGAGGTTCCCCAATCATCCCTTGAGGAGTGTGGACTAAAGGCTGTCTGAGATCCATAATCTCAGTGGCTCTGAACTGTGCTCTGTCTCTTACCCTGGGGAGTTCACGGTCTGTAGGGGGAAAGTGGGCTTCCTCATCAAAGAATGACAGGCATGATGGGTATATGTTAGGCTCCCCACTGAGATTTGTTGAATAAATGAGGAAACAAACACTGTGGTGGGGACACCGTTGGTTTGAACAGGAACAGCTCTGACCCTCAGAAAGTCCCCTGGAGATACAGACCCAGAGGGAGGAGGAAAACCTTGTAGCCAGCAGGATCTCTAGGTATTGGGGCTGGAGCTGGAAGTGGGCAAAAGTTGAGATGGATTCATCATTAAGGACCCCATGGATGGGCTGCGGGGAGGCAGGTAGAAAAGGCTTTTGGGTTTTCAGGTTGGGGGCAGTCTAGCCTGATTAGAAAGGAGGAAAAGGCCAGGGCCAGATGTCTGGGTGGAGTGGAGGGAAAAGGTCATCCCAGAAGGATTAGCCCCTGAAATTTCCTGAAGTAGGAGAAGGATAAAGGTGTGGTTGGTGAAGGAAAGCAGGTTTTCCCACATTAGCAACCAGTCAGGGAGAGGGAGGGGTGGGTAGGAGAACCATCAGTAAATTATTCTGAATGTGTGTAATTTAATGGAATTGGGAAAAAGATGGGGGAAATGGATGGAAGGGTCTTGGACTCTGAGACAAGGGGTCTATAATCAGACCATTTCATTATTTCTAGCTTCCACATTCACCAAGGCAGACAAGGAGTGCCTGCCTCAGTTCCTCTGCTCCCCCTCCCTTTCCCATCCATTCATGTGTGCAAGACTGCTCTGTCCCACAGAACCGTCTCAATGACAAGGACAGCAGGTGACAAGGCCTCAGCAGGACTCAGGTCTCCCCCCAGGGTTAACTAATAAAACTCTCCATGAAGCCTGCTGCTCAGCCCTCCCTCAAGGCAAGCCCTGCACCTGGGTCTGAGGATGAGGGTGGCAGTGAAAATTAAGCCAGTGACATCATTGTCAGCCAGTGGCAAAAAATATCAGATGGCGTTCATCACAAAAGCTGAGCCAAACGGTGATGAGGATGGTAGTGTGAGTCATGTGTGACAGGTGAGGAATGGAAACAGAGCACCTGAGAGCTTCTATTTCCTTGAGGCAGGGCTCGTTCATCTTATAAAAGTCAGCTGGCCATTGCCCTCACACCAAACCCAAGGGACCACACAGCCCATTCTGCTCCATATACCAGGTAAGTCTCTGATTGCAACAAAAGGAATTCTTGTTTATTTTTTCATTATTAGAAATTAGCCAAAGGCAAATATGTGTAAGAAGGTTAATCCAGGGTTTCAGTGGGAGTTAGAGAATAGTGGAATATCTTTATTTTAAGTTAAATTACAATCTAGATTTGAAAGGACCTTAGAGATGGTTAGGGCTCCCACTTCAGTAGATAGTCATTGAACTGGGAGTCCTGGAGGAGACTGTTCAAGTGCCCATGGGAAGTTCATAGCAGAACTAGGGCTCAGGCCCAGAGCACTCTCAGTAACGCTGCGATTTCCCCCTAAGATATTTACAGAAATTTAAATTTATTAGATGGATCTCTAATGAGCATTTATTCCATTTAAGACAGTATGCTAGGCACTTTGGACAAATCAATGCCTAACGTACTTACTTAACAAACATAAAACCTAGCAGGAAGGTAATACATACATATAAATAAATGAAATGCAAAGTAGATAGTAATTGGCATGAGGAGAGGGGCAGGGAAGGGCTGTGCAGTTTTGGGAAACCTTGCTCAAGGAGACCCTCCTGGGGGTGTCAAGTGATGTGAGCTATGATGGAGGAGTATTTGGACAAGCAGAGATGGGAAGAAAAGCATTTGGAAGGAACCGTGTAAGTACAGACCAGAAGCAAAACCGTAGGGGCTTAGATGAATATAAAGCCATCCTATAAGTCACAGGCTTTCTACATGGTACTGGGAGAGGATAGACTGCAGTGGCCTGATGCCACTTTCCAAAAGACCTAATGTGCGGGCCTCATGTCCCTCAGAAGCCAGCTTTCTTAGGGCATTTTTCTAGAACAGATATAAGATGTCTTGGGTAGGAAGGGAGCCAAGAAAAGAACTCCAATAAAATGGAGCAGAAGAAATTGCCTTTTAGCTCCTCCTCTTAAAAGGACCTGAAAATTATCCAAGTTTATTTCATTTTTAAATGTATTGGGGGGGGGCTAGAGGAGATGAAAGGCTTTCTCTTCTAAAAGGTCCCAAAATAAAATCTATTTGGCATTGAATTTGTATCCATCTTTCTTTAATTGAATCACTGTGTCAGCTTTCTGTCTCCAGAAAAAAAACACATTTGAAGCATGAATTCCCAGCAGCAGAAGCAGCCCTGCACCCTACCCCCTCAGCCTCAGCAGCAGCAGCAGGTGAAACAGCCTTGCCAGCCTCCACCCCAGGAACCATGCATCCCCAAAACCAAGGAGCCCTGCCTCCCCAAGGTGCCTGAGCCCTGCCACCCCAAGTTTCCAGAGCCCTGCCACCCCAAGGTGCCTGAGCCCTGCCCTTCAACGGTCACTCCAGCACCAGCCCAGCAGAAGACCAAGCAGAAGTAATGTGGTCCACAGCCATGCCCTTGAGGAGCCAGCCACTGGATACTGAACACCTTACCCCATTCTGCTTATGAATACCATTTGCCTATTGACCCTGTGGTTAGCATGCTGTCACCCTGAATCATAATCCCTCCTTTGCACCTCTAAAAAGATATTCCTTTCCCTCACTCTGGAGGGCTCCTGTGCCTCTGAGTAAGGCTGAAAGTCTCACTGACTGAACTAGTCTTCTTGTTGCTCAGGGTGCATCTGAGGAGGGATTTGGGGAGGGATCAAGTGAACCATCCCTGGTCTTCCCTCAATAAATAACTTTTAACTCCACATCTGGCTGTGTGTGTGTCACTGGCTGATTAAATCTCTGTTGCCTTCTCAGCGTGAAGCAGGAACTAACACTATGAGGGCTGGTCGTGAGGTCTGTAGTCAGAAGGTGCCCGATCCTGACACTGAGAATGTATGTGAATGTGTATGGCTGCTGTACACACAGGACACTGCTGGGCTGGCAATGGGAGTGTGCTCAGGGCCACCCACCCAACCTGTTACTTTGGGTAGGCACAGCTAGAACAAGGCTTTTTCCTTTCACCTTAATGTTTATATCTTAATGACTTGCAGTGAGTCGCACGTGAGTGTAGATGGTGCCTGCTTCAAGCCATCATCATCTGTGTTTAGTTGATTCCTTTTTAAAATTTTTTCCAAAGAAATAGTGCTTGTGCATAGTCTAGCCTAATGATCTGTTCTGCACTCATCTTCCTTTTCTGATGCCCCCAACACCTGGAGCCAAGCACTTGAACACTCACACCACACCCACAAACACATATCCAGCCCCACACTCTCACACAAGGATATACTCCCATACACAGACATTCAAACACACAGAGACACACACACACAGATCTCCAAAATCCCGACACTCACACACACACACACACACCCCTTCACACACTTGGATCTCCCAAACCACCCAACACTGACATACACACACACACACACACACACTTCTCTCTGCCTCCCTCTCCCCCTCTGTCTCTAACTTAATCACCTTAGTCCTATTTTTTTTTTTTTTTTTCGAGTGCCTACTGTGAAGATACCTGATGCTGCAGCAGGAAGAAGGAGATTCGAATCCACACCACCTGCCCTAGCAGAACCCTAAGAGAGGTGATCTTCAGCCCCCTTCCCATATAAACATAAGCTAACACACATGCTCCTCTCTCCACACACACATGCACGAGCATGCACACACTGTACTTCTGTAAGTAAAACGTAAAAGTTGAATATTTTATCCAACAACTGCAGAATACACACATTTGTCTCATCAGCCATAAAATATTACAGACCACATGTTAGACCACAAATCTCAACAAATTTTAAAAATCAAAACCATATCAAGCATATTTTCTTACAACAACAAAATAAAACTAGAAATCAATAAATAATGAGAAAAACTTTAGAATCTGTGCAAACATATGGAAATTAAACAATATGCTCCTGAATGATCAATGGGTCAATGAAGAAATAAAAAAAATTAAAATTAAAAAAATAAAAATGTTTTGAAACAAATAGAAATACAAGATACCAAAAGCTATAGAACATAGCAAAATCAATACTAAGAGGAAAGGTATTTTTAGTAATAAATGCTTACATCAAAAAAAGAAAAAAAACACTTTAAATGAAGAACTTAATATGTATCCCAAAGAACTAACAAAGCAAGAACAAACCAAAGCCCCCAAAAATAATAAAGATAGCACAGAAACAAATAAAATAAAAACCAAAAAGCTTTACAAAAGATTAATGAAACAAAAAGTGGATTTTTTGAGAGAAGATTCAAATAAATAAAATCAAAATGGATAAAAGAGACATTACAACTGGTATCATAAACAACAATAAACAAACAAATGAAAAACCTAGAGGAAATGAATAAATTCCTGGACACATACAACATACCAAGATTGAACCAAGATCAAACAGAAACCCTGAATAGACCAATCGCAAGTAATGAGATTGAAGCAGTTTCAAAAAGTTTCCCAACAAAGAAAAGCCCAGTGCTAGATGGAAGCACTGATTAATTCTACAAAATACTTAAAGAAGAACTAATACTAATTTTTCTCAAACTATTTCAGAAAATTGAAGAGAGAATTATTTCAAAATCACTCCATAAGGCTAGCATTATACTAATATGAAAACAAGACTAGAACATGAATAAAAGAGAAAACTACAGGCCAAAATCCCTAATGAACATAGGTACAAAAGTCCTTAAAAATGCTAGCAAACCAAATTCAACAGCACACTAAAAAGATCATCTACTATGATCAAGTGAGATTCATTCCAGGGATGCAAGGATGGTTCAACATATGCAAAGCAATAAATATAATACATCACATTAACAGAAAGAAAGACAAAAAACTTATGATCATTTCAATAGACACAGAAAAAAAAATTTCACAAAATCCAGCATACTTTAATAGTGAAAATTCTCAACAAATTAGGTATAGAAGGTACATACCTCAATGCAATAAAGGCCATATGTGACAAACCCACAGATAACATCATACAGAATGGGGAAAAGCTGAAAGCTTTTTCTCTAAGATCTGGAACAAGACAAGGATGCCCACCCTCACCACTTCTATGCAACATAATACTGGAAGTCCTAGATAGAGCACTGAGGTAAGAGAAAGAAATAAAAGCCATCCAAAATGGAAAGAAGGAAGTCAGATTATCCTTGTTTGCAGATGACATGATCATATATAGTAAAAAACCTAAAGGTTCCACCAAAACACTCTATGAACTAATAAATGAACAAGTAAAGTCACAGGATACAAAATAAACATGCAAAAATCAGTAGCATTTCTATACATCAATACTGAGCTACATGGAAAAGAAATCAAGAAAACAATCCCTTTTAAAATAGCCACAAAAAAATGCCTAGGAATAAATTTAACAAAGGAAGTGAAAGATCTATAAAATGCAAATTGTGTTACTCTGATGAAAGAAATGAGAGAGGATACAGAAAAATGGAAAGATATCTTATGTTCATGGACTCGAAGAATTAATATTGTTAAAATGACCCTACCACCAGAGCAATCAATAGATTCAATGCAATCCTTCTCAAAGTCCATGACATTTTCAAAGAAATAGAAAAAACAATCATTAAATTCACATGGAATCACAAAAGACCCAGAATTGTCAAAGCAATATTGAACAAAAAGAACAAACCTGGAAGCATCACACCACCTTACTTCAAAATACGCTACAAAGCTATAGTAACAAAAAAAGCATGGTATTGGCAGAAAAAAAAAAACACAAAAACCAATGTAACAGATAAAGCACTCATAAATAAATCCATATAGTCACATCCAACTGGCTTTCAAAAATGGCCCCAAGAACAGAAACTGGGGAAAAGACAATCTCTTCAATAAATAGTTCTGGGAAAACGGGGGTCCATATGCAGAGGGATGAAAATAGATTCCTGTCTCTCATCATATACAAAAATCAACTCAAGATGGATTAAAAATTTAAATAGAATCTCTGAAACTATGAAACTACAAGAAGAAAACATTGGGGAAATGCTACAGGACATTGGTGTGAGAAAAGATTTTTGGAGAAGAACTCAAAAGCATAGGCAACAAAAGCAAAAATAGGCAAATGGAATTACATCAAGCTAAAAGGCTTTTGCGCAGCAAAGAAAGCAGTTAACAAAATGAAGAGTCAACCTACAGAATGGGAGAAAATATTTGCACACTATCCATCCAACAAGAGATTAATAACCAGAATACTATTTGCTAGCAAAAAAAAAATTGATTTGGGCAAAAGACATGAGCAGACATTTCATAAAGGAAGACATACAAATGGCCCAAAAGGTATATTTAAAAATGCTCAGTATCACTAATCATCAGGGAAATGCAAATCAAAACTACAATGAGATATTATTTCAGCCCAGTTAGAATGGCTATTATCAAAAAGACAAAAAAAAAAATGCTTCTGATGATGAACATAAAGAGGAGCACTTGTACGCTGTTGGTGGAATGTAAATTTGTATAGCCACTAAGGAAAACAATATGGCAGGTCCTCAAAACACTAAAAATAAAACTATCATACCCACTTCTGTGTATACATCCAAAAGAAAGGAAATCAGTGTATTGAAGAGGTCTCTGCACTCCCTTGTTTATAGCAACACTACCCACAATAGCAAAGAAATGGAATCTACCTAAGTGTCCATCAACAGATGAACGTATAAATAAAATATTGCATGTATACACCATGGAACATTATTCAACCACAAAAAAAAAATACTTAAATCCTGTCATTTGAAACAAAATGGTGGAGCCTGGAGGACATTACCTTTACTGAATAAGCCAGGCACAGAAAGATGTATACCACATGTTCTCACTCATAGGTGGACGCTAAATAAGTTTATCTCAGAAGTAGAGACTAGAATAGTGGTAACTAGAGGCTGGGAAGGGTGGGGGAGAGGGAGGATAGGGAGATGTTGGCTAATAGATTCAAAAATATAGCTAAATTGAAGGATAAGTTTGATTGTCCTGTAGCACTGTAGGGTAACTATAGTTGACAATTGTTTATTCTATATTTTCAAATAGCTAGAAGAGAGGATTTTGAATGTTCTCCACACAAAGAAATGATGTTTGAGGTGATGCAGATGCTAATTATTCAGATTTTATCATTATATATTGCATACATATATCACAATACCACACTGTATCTAATAAATATGTACAGTTATATCAATTAAAAATAAAAATTTTTTAAAAGGCAAACTATCTCTACCCCTATCTCCAACGCAACATGTCATCATGAAACAGGGCTGAAAAGCTTCAATCAAAACTTGCATGTGAAAGATGAAGAATGGGAATCATGATCTGCAGTGAATCTGAAATCCTACCTAACAAGGATGTCAAGCCCCTCCACCCCTTGAGTCTGCTGTCTGGAAGGCACTCCCTGGTCTATTGTTCTCTGTGCCATATGTCTACAGCATCTTCTGTGCTCATTAACAACCACAGCCATGCTTGTAAATGCTTGCATATCTTAAGAGAACCCTTGGACAGAATTTACTTTACAGAATTTACAAAAATTTGAAAGTTTTTACTGAGTTTTTCCTGACCTTCTCTACTCTCGCATGTTGGGTAGGGGCTGTGGGTGAAGATAGTTGGTCTTTTAATATCATAGTTTTCTGGAACAGAAAGAGTTACATAAGAACCTGACTGAGAAGATTGTGTATCTTGAACAGGTGAAAATGAAGCTCTTTTGTGGGTGCTATAAAGCATATTAGCAGAGTACTGTTTCCCAAACTTTAGCATCTGTATTTGTGCATT